GAGCACAGCCATAGTGTGTATCTGTGTATGGCTATGCCACAACAAGCATTAGTCTCCAGGAAATATTTCTACATGAATATTCATCTGCATGAATGCATATTTGTGAACATTCTGCATTTGTGTTCATTGCAGTGAGTAATAGCTTCTCCGTTTGTACTTGTCCGTGCGTGTGTATTTAAACGTGAGCGAGAGAGCGGCCGTGGGTATGTACACACACCCTCCCGCTGATGAGGCCCAGTGCCAGAATCAATAGAGTGCTTCTGAGGCATCATACTCTAGTACGAGAGAGGCCAGAAGAGAGATTTTAATAAATGCAGTGTGCATGAGAGCCTGGCCTGGCTTGTCACTGCCATCGTCCCCCACAAAAAAAAAAAAAAAGTCCTTCTGTATGTATGAAACACAATATTGTAACTTCAAAAGCTGTGTCATCTTTTAAACTAGTCAAACTCACAAGGCTTTTAAAACATTTTTATGTTATATTAATGAATACAGATATGCCTTGCTAAAAGTTCTGACACATTTGTACAATACTGTTCAAATGTTTGGGTCACACACACACACACACACACAGTATAAGAAACTAATACTTACACTTTAAATTGTGAAAATAATTACATTTAAATAAATGCTTTTCTTCTGAACGTCCTATTCATCAAAAAATCCTAAAAAAAAGTAGCACAACCATTTTTAACTTCGATAATAATGAAAAGTGTTTCATGAACACTAAATCATCATATTAGAATGATATCTGAAGGAGTAATGGCTGCTGAAAATTCTGTTTTGCTATGACCATAATAAATTACGTTTTAAATATATTAAAATAAGAGTTATTTTAAATTGCAATATTATTTCACAATATTCCTGTTTTACTGTATTTTTGATCATATAATATCAATAAACGCATCCTTGGGGCGCTTTTGAGGTGTTTCAAAAACATTTTTAACATTTCACGTTTAACACACGACAAATACAGCAGTAACGGTCAAAAAAAGGACAAAAACGTCAATTAAAGGAGTCATATCTTAAAAAAAAAAAAAAAAAAGGAATTCCTTTGTTCTGTCAGGACCACTATCGTCAAAGATGATTGACAATTAGCATACATTTTGGATTGGCCGTATGGTTCTGTTCTGGGCAAGAACTCCCTGCGCATCCATGCAGCCTAGCATTTATGAGAGCAGGGAGAGCAGCGATAACCTCCCCAGGGTAAACAGAACAGAACCAACATAAATGTATTGCAGATATCATTAAAGTTCAATAATTTTATGTACACATTTTAGAATTAGTCTGATTCAAAGGATAATCAGAAGGCTGAATCCTGACTGACAGAGGAGGAGCTGGGGATGGAGGAGGGTAATTAGCTATTGAGCAATGCGAAAACTGCTGATAATACTGAGGGACCTTATATATGAATGCTTAGATAGGTGTCGTATTCCCATAGGTAGATGGGGATCAGCTGAGAGTCAGCTGATGAGAGCTTGACTAACGTGACCTGCCAGAACTAACGCTACACTTGATTTCTTTTCTATGTATTTCATACTTAAGCTTCAGTTTTGATGTACTATGTGCAAAAAGTTATTTCGAAATAGTCATAATTACAATTTGACAATCATGACCACATTAACATATGATCACCTAATTTATTTATAAATGGATATTTAGTTACCAGAAACTTCATGAATGAAACTAAACCTACATGATGGGACAGTCAGACATGACAGGTAATTCACAAGCAAGTCTTAAAGGTACAGTACCAGACCCGCTGGTTTAATTGTAAAGGTCAGAACGGGAAAAAAATAAGTATGAAAATCATATAAAGCTAAATTAAGATGGTTTTTGGTATGAGGAACCTTGACTACCATTATACAAGATATAAAAGCATAAGAATATAGCCTGGAAAATGTGAAAAATGATTATATACCTATATGTAATAACCCAGCAAAAAATATAAGGTATCATACCAGTAGGTAATACACCTTAAACCAAATTACACTTATAAACACTATATTCTGTCCTGCATTACTTTATAGCTGCAATATTGTGGTGTCAAATATGGCAGAAATGCTTGATAAGCACAATATAAATGTTTGCGTGATTTTATTTTAGTCAGTGAGGTGATCCCATACCAAACAAAAGAAAGCGTCAGAGAGGGTCAGGCTTTAAGCTAACAGGCGCAAATGTGTTTTTCACCACTCATTTGGAGCGACTCTGCTATTGAGCTGTGATTTTGAAGGTCCAAGTGCAGCCCACTCTCTCTGGCTCATTCTATCTCTTCCCAACTGGAGCTTGGGAGGCTTCTTGCACTTGACAGAACTTTCTAACATAAAAACCACTTTCCTAAAAACCATCAAGCTGTCAAGTGAAGTGGAAAAATGAGAGAGATTACTGCATAAAGGCTGAGAGGGGGGACAAAGAGAAAGAAAGGAAAAGAAATGGTGGGATGGCTCAAGATTCTCCTGCAGATAAAACACATAAAACGTTCCAATGACTTTTCTTCATTTCTCCAGATTTATTTATTCTGCTTTCTCTCTCTCTTTCTTTGTTTACTTAAGCCTTTACTATTCACAATAAAAATTTGCTTATATTTGAAGTGGCCATGATGGCTCATACTGTACGCATGAAAAATTAAACATCAGCTGTATCCCCTTAGAGAAAAATTTGATAATTTGGAAAACAAATGGAGATTTCTGGTTATACTGTAAATATCAAATAAAATATCTCAGATTGTTTCAGGGTTACTAGTTAACTAAAATAAATTTTTTTGCTAATTAAAATTAAACAAATAGATGTTAACTGAAAAAAAAAAAACTAGCAGCCAAGGCAACTATTCTCATTTTCTAAAATTAACTAAAACTAAACCTGAAATATAAATATATAGACATATTTAGAAAAAGTTTAAAAATGACAAAAACGCTAAAAAATGACTAAAAAAGTAAAATTAAAAATGAAAATAAAAAAATCTAATTACTAATAAAAACTATAATAATACCTCTGATACCAAAATTATACCAGATTAAAAAAAAAAGACCCCAGTAATCTCCAATGTTTCCAAATAGGACTCAACAAATGTCTATGCTCAGGTCTGTCAAGAAAAGTGTAATATTTCTCCAATATTTCTCATTAAATTCTTCCAAACCCATCACTATATCTCAGATATAGTACCCATATTAATTTTACAGCTCTAATCCTCCATTTTTAAAACTATAATTATCTTAAGAAATTATAGGTGAAACATCTGAGACAAAGACTAAAATAAAACCCAACCAAGAACTCCATTAAGTCTCCTGAGCTCTGAATGAGCAACCCGAGTGATAAAACGTTCCTCTGGGTAATTAGTATTCTTATGAAACATTTGTGATAGGCAGAGCCTTCGATTGAATTCATTTGCAGCTGCTGCGTTTGCATTTCTTGCGAATAGATGTGCTCATAATAAGACGATCAAGGGTTTTCTTATTACAGTCAACATCTAACATGATGACTTACACGTTCATGTGGGGGAAAAAAAAAAAAGAGCAAAACGTGTATGGCTGTGTGAGCGTTTTTTACCGAGTGAATATTCTTTGCACTAAAAGAAAGGAACTCCAGCAAAGTGACTCCCCCTGTATTCAACATCTATGATGTCATAATCACTCGCATCAAAGGCATTCCGTTCGCCACAGCAACTGTCATTCTCCCTGGAGGCGTCATTAAAACAGAACACACCAATCCGAGCTGAGCAAGAGCTAACGGAGCAACTTCAAAACACACACGCACACACACTACAACCAAACAATGTTAGAGCAGGACAGCAAGTTTGTACTAACCCAAAGAGGAGTGACGGAGTAATACACACACACACACACACACACACGTGCCCGCAGACATTCATACGGCACGCTTGCACACACACACACACACACACACACACACATGCTCAGAGACACTAAAAGACACTATAAATAGGACAGCTCTAATGTGGTGCTGTGTAGTTCTTGCCCTTGGGTATAAGGCTCTTCCAGAGAGAAAGAGAGAGAGATGGAGAGGAAAAGGAAGGAAGAGTACAAGTGGACGAGATTGAAAACGGAGCCAAAAAAAGAAGAGTTATCGCTTTTTGAGGGCTAACTTTTTGGCAAAAAATAAATACATAATAAATAAACCTACATAAAATGTGCTTAAAATTTAAAATGCATTACATGTAAGTTTGGGTAGTTGACACATAATGCATACACTATCTATTTTTTATTTACTGTATATGAATAAATATAGATATACTGTATACACACACATAACCATTCAAAAGTGGCAAAAGTTTGGGGTCTGCAAGATCATTTTTTAATGTTTACTTAAAAAAAAAAAACAATAAATAATGTGAAATATTATTGCTATTTAAAATAAATTTTCTATTGTAGTACATTTTAAAATGCAATTTATTTTTATGATGGCAAATCTGAATTTTCAGCATCATTACGCTAGTCTTTAGTGTCACATGATCCATCAGAAATGATTTTAATATGATGATTTGGCACTCCAGAAACATTTGATTTACTATTATAAATGTTGAAAATAGATGCTATGCTTAATATTTTGTGTGCAAACAATGGCACATTATTATTATTTTAAAAATAATTTGTAGCATTTTAAATATCTTTACTGCCACTTTTGATCAATTTTATTCATTCTTGCCGAATAAAAGTTAACATTTTTCTTCAGCAAAAACGTATTAATTAAAAATAATAATAAAAAAAACCCTACATAAAAAAATTGCTGACTCCCAAACTTTGAATGACAGTATACATATACAGTTTAATATATTTTTATATATATTAAAATTTACATGCATAGTACATGTATAATTAAAATAAAAAAACAACAACACCAAAATGCTATAGTGATTATTATATAGATTTCAGCATGTCACGTTGCCAACTTCCCTATAGTATTATGTCAACTACCCATTTGTACCAGTGTGCATGTGTTTTCTTATTTGCATGTGTTTATGTGCCAGTTTGACCGTGATGACCTACCCCAGGTAGCGTCTTCTGCTCGTGAAGCGCGGTCTGAGCTTTTAGCGCTGATTCTCTTGCACAGTATGTGAGGAAGGCACAACCTGAGAGAGGAAATAACAGAGACAGAGATAAATTAAAGACAGGTCAGAGAGGTTGAGACACAAGCAGGTGTCTGTTTGAGTAGAGCTGGGCTCTCTACCTTCATATTGTTTTCGCCAATCCAAGAAAGAAAAACAATGTTATTACATTTGTGTAGCAGACACCGAGTCATAAAAGACAGAAGAGCGATGAAGACTTTCTGAGAGCACATGCCCACAGCCATACACACTCACGCTCCCCTGAGAAAGACGGAGAGTGAGCGCAAATACAAGTGTGTGTGTGCGTGTGTTTGTGGAAAAAAATATGCTGCTTCTTGTAATTTTCTGGCTACAAGGCCGTCCTGGTATCAACATTTAACAGAGTATGTTTTTGTATGCTTGCTCATTAACGTCGCGACACAACAAATTTCCGCCAGAAAAATGCTGCTGCGTTCTATTTATGACGTATTGACACAAATTTAAAATGATTTTCAACGGTCGCTTTTTCGCGTCCAGTGTAGACAGACTTTAGCTGTTGCGGCACGGCAACTGTCGCGTCCGGTGAAGATACGGTGTAATAAAGGCAGGAATCTCTGTGTGTGTGTGTCTGTCTGTCTGTCTGTCTGTCTGTCTGTC